AGGGACAAGGGAAATACAATTTTTTGTTTGTTGGTTGGTTGGTTTGTTTTTTACAACAGGGTGTTACTATATAGTTCGGGATGGCCTGGACTCACTGTGGAACCCAGGCTGGCCTTGAACTCACAGTGAACCTCCTGCCTCAGTTTCCCAAGTGCTGGGACTGTGGACATTGTACCATTATGCCTGGCTAAATTTATTCTTTACTAACTTGACTAATTATGATGCTATGTAAAATGTTCTAAATGCTCATGACCCTTAGAGTACATATGTTGAAATATTAACTCAAAATTTGATGGTATTAGGAGGTGGAGCAATTTTACAATAAATTATAAGGGATGAGAATTTATTAATGTGATTAGTGTCTTTACAAAGAGTGCTCTCAGAAGGCTCTCTCACCCACTTTCTACTATACAAGGAGTTTTTCACAAACACAACTCAGAGGTGGGATCTACCATAGCTCAACCATGTTACACAACTTATCAGAATCCCACCACCTAGAATAATGAGAAATGAATTTCTGTTTTTTAGAAATCAGTTAGTTTATGGAACTTTGTTATGGTAGCCCACACTGATTAAGTGACTGGAACATACTGTGCATGCATTTCATTTTTTAGGAAAAAAATCTGTAAGAATACACCTAAGAATATAAAGCTAGAATAGTGCCAGAGGCATGTAAATTTGCAATCCAGGACAGCATCTGTCTTGTTTCCTGTGACTGGTAAAAGCCATCTTCTTTTTCATTTTTTTTGTTTTTTTTTTCTTTTTTTCTTTTCTTTTTTCTATTCCTTTCTTTTTTCTTCCCCTCCTTCACTTATTTTTCACCTCTTCCTCCCCATCTTCCTTCTCTCCCTCTCCCTCTCCTTCTCTCTGTCTCTGTCTCTCTCTTTTATAGGTCTTTTATCCCTTTAAAGGGTACTGCATATCCAATTATCTTTGTTTTATTTTTCTCTTTTTCATAATCTTACAGTATACATACTATAGAGGAAAAATATTGATGTCCATTTTACAAACTTCTTAAAGGATTTAATGAATGTTATATTTTCTTTTTTGGGGGGGGAGGATTTCAACATTTGTGTTTTGAGAACTGATGACTGACGATCTGTGATTTGCTATTCTGACACTCTTACCTGTCATATTTTAACTTGACAAAGTCTATATTGGAAAGTCATTCAGGGGACAGATTTTATGTAATTTGAAGACAACACGCAGCAACATGATGTACTTTATTGTTGTTTTAGTGAGACTTTATTGACAAAGTAGAACATGCACATGATACCAGAAAATGTACTTAAAATTTGAGATATTACTTGTGTATGATACAAAATAGGATAGTGATTAAGAATTATGATAGCCCCCCACTGCTAAATTTGACTGCTTTAAAAAAAATGAATTATGATAGATGAATAAAAGTGAAAATGAAATTCCAGAGGTATCTCGATTCTATAACTGAGTGATGGTGATGTAGGGGAGCAGAGGCCTATGAAACACAGTTACACCTACTTTGGTAACTGTCCAATTATAGTATTAATTACGAGAAAAACAAAGACAAGAAGACTAGACTTTTCTAAAGGACACACAAAATTTTAACATTTTATATTTGACAGGACTGCATTATTCTAGAAGTTCTCATGACTGCCTCAAAACAGTTTGTGTACTTGTGATTGCTCAGGGCTGGGACTCCATAATTTTGTGTCATCAATGTTAAGGCAAATGCCACGCATCTCAATAAGCACTCAAAATGTATTCGGCAAACCGCACGCTAGTAAATGCCTTGTACTTTAAAAATATTGAATGGAGGTTTTCCTCTCACTTTGTGGGAAGTAAAGAGTAACCGCCACCATTCTTCTAGCAGAGGCTAAACATTTCACAGAGTTGTGGCATTACAGATTCATGTAGGATCAAGAATCATAGCAGCTGTTTTTTTAGGCATCTTTCAGTTGACTGATTCCATTTCTCTGTAATTCCGCAACTACTAAAGGTCAATATCTTGCCAAAGTAACTGGCACAGCTACACAGTGTCAAGCTCACTTATTTTCATTCTCTGGCTGATTTTCTATGTCAAACAATCTACAACCTGTTTATACATGATGGAGTCATAAATACCTCTAAGTGTGCCTGAACATACATCTGATTTTCTATCTGGGTTGAATGTGTTGCAGAATTTCATTGATATATATATATATATATATATATATATATATATATATATAAATAAAATTTGTGGACAGAGTTGCAAGATGAAATTGTATAAAATGCATATACTTTCAAATGTACTTATACTTCAATAATTTAAAAAATACACTGTGCCAAGGAGAAAATCAGTATCAGAAATGTTTATCTAGTATCTTTTATATATCATGGGTAAAGTTAGGCACAACATACAATGTAAGGAAATATATTACAATATACCATCTGTAAAAGTCAGGAGAAAAAAACAAATTCAATATAAAGTGATCAACACTATTATAGGGCCAAACAAGCTGCAAAAGGCTCTGATCACGGTCAGTGCCTTTGCAGGAAAAATGTCCTTTTAGTGAGAAACTGAAGCATTAGTATAAAGTACACTGTCGATGTGAACAAGGGAGGTATGATTATGGAAAAGGAACAGCATTTGCCAATGCCAGGAGATGAGAGGGCACGCAGAATTCAAGGCTGTGCAATGGGTTTGCTATGGCTAGCAGGTACCTAGCTAAAATATTTGGTACATGTAATTTTAAAATGTATATTTTAGGCAGTATAAATAAGTCACTGAGTAACAACACAAAAGCCAAAGTACAAGGATAAATGATGTTTTTGTTTTTATTGTGACCGTTGCTTAATCAACGGTTAAGAAAAAAAATTAATAAAAGAAATTTAGACAAAAATTTAATTATTTTTTGTGAAACTGAGATGATAAATTATTAATGTATTACTTTAATATGTTTTAGTAATTGAAAGGAAAATAACTTATTTTAGATGCTTCAAATACAAATATACCAACTAAAATTTAAAAACACCAAAAATAACGAAAGTAAATTTTCTGAGCTATGGAATAGATGCTTTACACATGAACTAAATTCACTGTATAGGATGCCTTAAATGAACTATCATATTTCCACCTTACAGGGTTTTGTTCTTAATGCATATATGCCTCACATGCCATCTAACTGGACTTTTGAAAGTGAAAGGATGTTATAATTATTCAAAGGCAACAGGTGATAATTATGAAATATCGTGGTAGAGCCCAATATATGATTCTTATTTATAATATGCACTACATTTTTGCATCTTCTAATGATAATGATTATTTAAATTTGGAGATCCTTTTAGCAATGGAATGTTCTTTTCTCTTTCAATGGGACATGCTTATTCCTTTATTATGCTGAAGCTTGTGATCACCAATATTTTGCCTTTTTAATCACCTTTACATGTGTGCTTGTCAACATACTGAATAAATCACTGGTAGAAATTCTGAAAAGACAACAAATAACTTTTTTGTGGCAGTCATCAGTTATTAAATGCACATGTAACTTTTAAAAGCAGAACTCTTCAAAATCTAGAAGATATTTTTTGGTATTTCACTTCTTGTTAGCTTCCAAAACAAGAAGTGGTATCAACCAAATGGTTTTATTGTCAATGGAAAATGAAACATTATTAATATAAAAAAGAGCATTTGAAAGACTTGTAAAGTTTTTAGTGTCAAACACATTGTTTCAGTAGATCCCGGAACAATGATATCATATTCAGCTATTATTAAGAGAGCATCTCATTATTATTCTTAAAATTAATAAGTTTGCTTACCATCCCCTTGACTACCCATAAAACATAGATGTTTGAATACCATATATATCCAAAAAAACTATTAATAATATCAAATGTCATTAATATACAGAGAAATATCTGAGACCATTTGTAATTTTTTTTTCTTTTTGTAATGAATAAACTGAGTTACAACCTGCACAGGTATATCGGATAATAGGCTTTGATAATGATGGAAAACAATGATATATTTCAGATGTGGCAATATGATAACAGGGCATTGTCCCAATTTTTGCTTCCCACAAAGAACAGCATCACAAGACTCTAATAAGACAATAGATAATGGGCAAATGTTTCTGAGTCTTAAGTCCCATGACAATTAAAGTAGTTAATGGAAGAATATAAATCTCATGCATGACTTTTTTATTCAAATGGTAAAGTAGTGTTTCTTTGTTGATTGATTCCCAAACCCTAACAAAATTAAATCCAAGCAACCTGCATCGTGCATCCACTCTGTGCCTTATCTCCCTCTTAACTACTCAAAGCCTCATGTATTGTGTCTCCCAGGTTTAACTTCATTCTACCTTATGTTCAAACATATTTTTCAGTTTGATTCACTTGCCAAACTTCTTCAACCCAGCAATAATTAGCATAGGGTAGTTTATGTAACATGTTCTGTGAGTCCCTGGATTAATTTTAATGTCTATATTCTGTGTTTCGTTTACTAATTTCACGTGATTTTCCTGTTAGCTCTTAATGTGTTGTTTTTGATCTCTCTGCTTATAAGATTTTTAAGGAAAAGTTACTACAAGATACAGTAAATACATATTCTACTATGTATATTATAATTGGTACAAAGAATGTATATATCTCCTACACTGAGCCAAAATTAAATGTATGTTTTCTGCTGTTGGAAGTACACTTACTAAAACCAAGTAACTTTTCCAAGCAACTATATAGTCTGTGAAGCAAAGAAAATGATTTTAGCTCACATAAAATTAAATTTGAATCTCAATTCTTCCTATTTCTCATATAACTCATTATATATGAAAATATTTACTAATACTTTATCTCACAGAACTACATAATATTTTACAAGAAAACAATACATTTTAAAATGTTAAGATATTTTAACAAAAACTGGTTAATTGCTGTTCATACTAATTTCAATTTTTGAAATATAAAAGTGCCTACTGTAACCTCTTTTTTTCTTTGATTAATATTTCATGAGTACAAGGAAATAAGCTATTAGTTTAATTTACCTTAATAACCAAATCAAATTTCTGATGAATGTCTCTATTCACTGGCTCTAGAAGACTCAGTTCTGCAGTCCTGGGGTGCATATGGAAAAATCGGGGGTAATCCTCAGGCGTCCCTGAAAGATATTAAGATTTCAACACATAATTGGGAAGAAAAAGTAAAATGTGTATCTGGTTCATTTATTTCCCTTCATTAACTGAGCAACAGAATTACAATTTCATTAGTAAATTAAGTTTCAAAATTATGCAATCTGTGGAAAGCAGACACAGATGTAGTAAATAATTAGCTTAGAAGTAAGAGAATGGAAAATACTTGCATAATTATCCTAATATTTTACTGAGTGGTCCTATAATCTGGAACCCCATCACATGAAAAGAATTAATATGTTGAGGAAAAGCAAATTTCATATTACAAAATTACTTTTACCCAGTGCATAAATCTTAATTATAGACTACATGGTATCTCAACATATCCTATAATAAATAATGTTCAGTATTTAAACCAAATATGAAGTTATCTGGAAACTAGTATGAACCTGTTTTGTTCCAGTTTGTTGAATTTTATTAAATGTAAGTAGTTAGCAAATATCAGACATCAGAAATTAAAATACAGGTTTTGATGATACTCCTAATGTCTAGGTTGGATATTTCCTAAATGTAAGTATTTTACTAAGTTGAGTACATTTCTTCATACAGAAATTCTTTTCCAATTGTATTGTCTTATTTTGTGTATTGTTTTTCTTTTTCCCAAAGTAGAAAAAGAAGGAAAAGTTAACTCATAAAAGTCAAATATAGAAGTTCAAATCAAAATATACTAATGATTGATTATATTGGAGATCATTGTTAATCCTGTAACTCATTTCTATATTATTTTTGAAGATTTCAAGGATTTGAGCGATTTAAAAATATTCAATTCAAGTAGTTAAAATGAGATAGCGTTAGATTTTGAACATGCATTCAGATATAAATTATATTTACTGCACTATTCTTCTGTTTCAACACTTAGGAAGGGAAATTCTCCTAGACAATTAATAAAGAAAAAAGAATTAGGAAGAAACACAATTACAATACATAGATTGGAAAACTTAGACAATTCAAATATTATATATGAAACAATATGTGCTAAAGAAAGTATCTTTTTCAATGGAAGAGTCATTTAGAAAATTATTAAATTACTGTATGCTTTAATTTTGTAATTTGATCAACTATTTCTAAGATGACAATATGAAATCTATTAACTAGTGATTTCTTACTGTATATTTTTTTCTTGAAATTCTGTATTACTTGCACCCTTTCACTGTTTTTTTCTCTTTAAATAAAATATTTAAATAAAATATGCTATATTTGTATATACAAGGCTAAATCCCATTTGGAGAAAATATTAGAATTACTTTTTTACATAATATATGAAAAGTAAAAAATGCACAGTAAAATATGTGATAAAAGTACTAGTAATAGGGGGCTGAAGATTTAGCTCAGCGGCATAAAGCACCTGCCTTGCAAGCAGGTGGTCATGAGTTCGATCCCCCGTACCGATAAAAAAAAAAAAAAAAGTACTAGTAATAGATAAAAATATTGATAAATTTAACGCAGAATTGAAAGTAAGCAATTCCTAAACATTGATTGAAATGTAAAAGTAATAATAAAAAGAAATTACATAACAAAATTGTATGATAAGATGTATAAATAGATAAAATTGTGACAATTGGGAAAATATTTCCTATTTACATCAGAGACAAAGTGTGTGCGTTCTTTATATATGGAAAATTTTAAATTATATTTTAAAAAGGCAACAATGTCTTAAAAATGGTTGTTGCTAGAATATGAGCAGAAAATTCATAGATCTGTGAAGAATTTGGCATAATCTATGAAAATTGTATTAAGATTTACTTTTTATTTTTTAGAGCTGTAGATCGTTAACAGGCCTTGTTCATGACAGGTGCTATTGAAGGAATATTCTTCAGCCAAATGTTTACTGTCCATTCAGAAAGCCTACTTCTATCACATTTTGGGGTTATAATGGAAGAAAAATAATCATCTGTATTTAACTCAGTGGTAGTCTTGCTGAGTAAATGGTGGTATATTATTATTGGGCAATAATTTACCATATAGCCATAACATTTAAAATACTGTCATATGAAAGAGAGGTAGGAATAAACTTTTCTGGAACCATATGATGCTATATATTATTACGAGACTAATTCAAGTTACAGATGCCTCAACAAATTTAGAAAATATACTTAACTCTCTACATGTCTCTTTAGTTGTTTTCACAAGTACAAACATGAAAAAACTATCCCAGATAACTTTAAAAGATAGACATTACATCATATGCTCACTAAAATAGCCCTAGTAAGAGACATTACAGAGAACAACACAACAAAAGTTTTCCAGTAGAAATTCCATGGTAATGGTTATTATTATTCTAATGTTCTTATTCCAAATTGTTTGTGACAGTATTTTACAACAAATTAATTATGTGATATTTTAATCCTGTTATTTTCAATATTAAAAACTAGTGTAAATAGTAAAAGGATCTGAATATAAGATTAAAGAGGTCACATATGTATGCCAACAGCTTGATAGTGAATTGAGTGGAAGTTTAAACTTTAGCTTGTAGTTTGTTTTAAAAAGCAGAAAGTCCACACTCTGAACACAAAACAAAAGATTAAAGTAAAATATACCCAACTTAGAAGTTCATTCCTAGTGTTTAAACCATGGCTTTGAATTTCCTTTACCAAGAAAAGTAATTAAGCTTTCTGAAAGAAATTTTGATTTAGCTACAGGGTAAAATTCCAAGAGTACTGTGAAACATTGTGTTGCACAGAGTAGCAAAAAAGATGCCAAGACTACCAATCTGGTGTCAAAAGATTTTTAAAAGTCTTTTAAGAAGAAATTTTTAGCTAAAATTGAAAGAATTTGAGTATAAATATATATAATATCTGCAATGATTTGAAAGAAAATTATTTCCAAATTTGTAATGTCATAATGTAGAAAACAGGAACAGCTTTTTGATTATCTTTCAAAGATGCTTTCGAAATTAGAAAATAAGAAAATATATTCATTTTCTGCTTGGCTCTATTACCTATAATACAGGAGAAACAAATAATAGATAAATTGCTTTTTATAAAATTATTCCTGCTAAAAATTAAAAATAAAATCAGTTTCACCTTTTTATAATTTCCACAAATTCATGGGTTAAAGCATTAACCATTGAAATGACCAAAAAGAGATAGCTATGACTCACTCACAGTGGGAAATTTAATATCGTCTGTTTTAGAATTAATTCCTCTGTCCCTATATTCATTTATTGAATTTTCACTATTCATGTGACTGTGTACAACTATAAGACCTGTAATGTGGTAATTAAGGTTAAATGAGGGCATAGAAGAGGCCATTAAATATGACAGGAATGGTGTCCTTCAGGGATCAATATACCTCAGACTGGACTGCTTTCTCTTTCTTTCTATGTGTCTTCGTGTGTACCTAGAGGAAAGGTCAAGAAAGGACAGTGCGGGGACGTGGCCATTCATAAAACATCAGAGAAGTCTTCAGAAACCAGCCATGGTAGCACACTGATGTTAGGTTTTTAATCTCCAACACTATCAGGAAAAAATATCCACTGTTTAAACTACATAGTCTATGGCGTTTTGTGACGGCACTCCAAAAAGACTGGTATGTCATCTATGAAATAATTTTAGGAGAGACAAAAACTAAACAGAAATCTTTCTTTGTTAACAGACAATACAAAGGACACAACAACACTGAAAACAGAAACTAAAAAAAAGCAGAATATGGACTACAGATCATTATTAAAATAAAAATTTAATTTTCCAATAAGAATATCATGATGGAAAAGATAAATGGAAAGAGGACCTAGATATAAACAGACAACAAAAATATCAATCACAGTTTATAAGTATTATTCAAATACTGTTTTCACTGTCTGTCCTCCTATCAAAAACAAACAACAACAACATTGGTGATGATCAAGATAGTGATTATGCTAGGGATGATGATAACATTTAGGAGCAAATGACAGCACTGAGTCAATATTTGAGATTCTAAATTGATTATTTAGCATTCAACACAACATATTATAGCAGAATTTAAGCAGAGTTGTTTTACAAACCTAATACATATTGTGTATTAAAATACTGTACTTGGAATTTTCTTCAAAATAATACAAGAGGAGAAATTAATAGAAATATATGTTAAAAACAATTTTAACAAGTGTTCAAAGATTCTTGAAACTATGTGATACTAAATGGTATTTTATTTAGGATTCTCTCATTTTTCTATTAAATTCTAATGAAAATTTTTAATAATACAAATTAGACTTGATTTTGATTGTATCTTACCATAGATCTCATTAGAATGGGATACATCAACATGGAGAAATGAGGCAAAATCACTGAACTTAATTGAGTTATAGCAGCTGATCTGAGAAAAACAGTTTTCAGTGTTCAGACAGTAACACTTATTAGCAGTTAACTCTGGAATTACTGTGGGGAAAACATTGCAATCTCTTTATTTCTAAATGCTTCACTTTATTCAAGTGTCAAAAAGCCCTATGGGAAAGATACTATTATTTGATCTATGAAAAACTAATACTTAAGAGAGTCCTGAATAAAATGATCTGAACCCTGCACAGCTTCTAAAGGACTGAGTCAGATGTCAAATTTAAGGTATGTAAACCTAAAGCCCAAACTTTCTTTTTAAATCATGTATACTGTACTCAGTGGCAGACAACCTGAGCTCCTCGGCCTCTCTTCATAATTTTGTCAGTATCTTAGACATCAGCACAGAATGTTAACATAGGAAAAGTATAACTAGCAATTTAAAAATAAAGTTCCTTGAATAAAAAGTAAAAGCTGGTACAATTTGATTTCCCTTATTACTAAAATTATTGTTTGTCTGATGAGAATTAAGAACACTTAATGCTACTGTGTTCATTATGCACAGATTTTATAGTCAACTGAAGCTGTTCCTTAGAAACATCTCTGACTGCCAGAATTTACGTAAAATTGAAAGCTTTATCTCTCATTATCAAAATTATGTATAGTATGATGAATTCCAGAATTAAAACTCTATTATAGATAAAATAGTTAATAGT